GTTCATGACGTTGAAGGGAAGAAGTTGTCTCCGTAACGTAATCATAAAAGTGCAAGGTGGAAGCAGAAGTGCTGATGAGAAAGCTGAATCCAGGAGATTCAGCTAAGATGACTGATGAAGGCGACTACGCTAAACAACAGGTTTTCATCATAGATGAAACAGCCTTCTATTGGAAGAAGATGCCATCTAGGGCTTTCATAGCTAGACAGGAGAAGTCAATGCCTGCCTTCAGAGCTTCAAAGGACAGGCTGAATCCCTTGTTAGGAGCGAATGCAGCTGGTGACTTTAAGTTGAAGCCAATGTGCATTTCCATTCCAAGAATCCTAGGGCCCTGAAAAATTATGCTAAATCTTTTTTTCTTTTTTTGAGACTGAGTCTTGCTCTGTCACCCAGGCTGGAGTACAGTGGCACAATCTCAGCTCACTGCAACTTTTGCCTCCCGGGATCAAGCAATTCTCCTGTCTCAGCCTCCCGAGTAGCTGGGATTACAGGCACCTGCCACCATGCCCAGCTAATTTTTTGTATTTTTAGTAGAGACAAGGTTTTGCCATGTTGACTAGGCTGTCTCGAACTCCTGACCTCAGGTGATACACCTGCCTGGGCCTCCCAAAGTGCTGGGATTACAGGCATGAGCCACTGCATCCAGCAAATTATGCTAAATCTATCCTCCCTGTGCACTATAATGGAACAAAAAAGCCTGGATACCAGCACATCTGTTTACAGCATGGCTTACTAGATACTTTAAGCCCACTGTTGAGACCTACTGCTCAGAATAAAAGATTTCTTTGAAAATATTACTGCTTATTGACAAGGCCCCTGGTAACCCAAGAACTCTGATGGAGATGTACAAGATTAATGTCGTCTTCACGCCTGCTGACACAACATCCATCTGCAGCCTACAGATCAAGGAGTATTTTGACTTTCAAGTCTAATTAAGAAGTACAATTTGTAAGGCTATAGTTGTCATAGACAGTAAGTCCTCTGATGGATCTCTGCAAAGTAAATTGGAAAACTTCTAAAAAGAATTCCCCATGTCAGATGCCATGAGGAACATTCATGATTTATGGGAGGTGGTCAAAATATCAGCATAACACGTTGGAAGATGTTGATTCGAACCTCATGGATGACTTTGAGGGGTTCATGACTTCCGTGGAAGATGTCACTGCAGATGTGGTGAAAACAGCCAGGGAACTAGAGTTAGGAGTAGAGCCTGAAGATGACTGAATTGCTGCAATCTCATGAACAAACTTGGACAGATGAGGAGTTGCTTCTTACAGATAAGCAAAAATAGTGATTTCTTGAGATGAAATCTACTCTTAATGAAGACGCTATGAACACTGTTGAAATAACAACAGAAGATTTAGAATATTACATAAACTTAGTTGATAAAGTAGCATGAGGGTTTGAGAGGATCGATTCCAGTTTTGAAAGAAATTCTACTCTGGGTAAACTGCGATCGAACAGCATCAACTGCTACAGAGAAATCTTTCATGAAAGGAAGAGTCCATTGATGTGGCGAATCCATTGTTGTCTTATTTTAAGAAATCGCTGAGGGCTGGGCGCGGTGGCTCATGCCTGTAATCCCAACACTTTGGGATGCTGAGACGGGTGGATCACCTGAGATCAGAAGTTCAAGACCAGCCTGACCAACATGGAGAAACCCCGTCTCTACTAAAAATACAAAATTAGCCAGGCGTGGTGGCTCACGCCTGTAATCCCAGCTACTTGGGAGGCTGAGGCGGGAGAATCGCTTGAACTCGAGAGGCAGAGGTTGCAGTGAGCTGAGATCATGCCACTGCACTCTAGCCTGGGCAGCAAGAGTGAGACCCCATCTCAAACAAAAAAAAGAAAGAAAGAAATTGCCACAGTCGGAGGTTGTGGTGATCCAAGATCGCGCCAATGCACTCTAGCCTGGGCAACAAGAGTGAAACTCCATCTTAAAAGAAAAAAGAAAAGACAGTAGCTTATGTTCATGCTAAGCACCTCTCATCACAGTCCAGTTCCAAGGAAAAGTTCCAGCATTTTCTACATTGGCTGTCGCCTCATCAGAAATCAGCACATTCCATGGAGGAAGGAGTCCTGCTTTGTTGCATCTTCTATCCTAGGGTTTTATGTTGGTAAATGAGTAATTCTAGCATTTGTACAAGGCTCCCTAAGACTCCTGCAGCAGTCAACCAAGCCCAGGGTCGTAACTGAATCTGGAGATTCCTGGGGCCTTGTTGTGAAAAAGACTTGAAATACACATAAGAAGAAAGGCACAAAAATAAATGTTCACTTGTAAAAAATGAAAGATAGAAAGAAAAAGAATGGAAGAGAGAAGAAAAAAGAAAGGAAAGAAAGGAAAGAAAAAAGAAAGGAAGGAAGGAAGAGAAGAAAAAGAGAAAGAAAAAAGAAAGAAAGGAAAAGAAAGAAAGAGAGAGAGAGAAAGAAAGAGAAAGAAAAAGTAAGAAAGAGAAAGAAAGAAAGAAAGAAAGAAAGAAAGAAAGAAAGAAAGAGAAA